ATGGTTATTGTAAGGGTGATAGGTATCCTACTAATATTATAAATGCGAAAGTTTATTAGGATGATATGTATATGTGTGTTACTTTTTCACGTCGTAACGACTGAAGAGACAACATAACATAACATAACATCACGGCTTTTATCCCCGTAGGGGTAAGCAGAGGTGTACATTACGGCACTTAATGCCACTGTACAATGTAACACCCACTTTTCAGTATTTATGTTATGAGTAGGTACCATGTAATAGCCTATTGCCATATACCGGGCACAATTCCAGACTCCGTGCTACTAATGAATTTTTTTGAAAAAGCCCAGTAATACTTTACCCGATCCGGGAATCGAACCCGAGACCCCTTGCCCGGCAGTCGTAATTGCGACCATTCGGCCAACGAGGTACACAGATTGCGGTCTAAAATAATACATAGGTTACTTTTTATGCCACAGGAATGCGCGGCTAAGCCGCTGGTACAAGCTAATATTGTTATAAATAATATAAAATTATAAATACTACATAAGTTTTGAGGCACATTATTTTTATTCCTTTGACCGTAGCCCAATACAAACTGAATCAACGAAACAAAACAAAAACAACGCTTCATTCGAAATCTCTCTTCCTCGAAGCTGGAAACCCGGCACTCAAATCGAAAATTTCACCGAAAAACCTTTTGTAGTAATAATGAAACGAAAAACAAAAGCATTGAGCACATGTAACAAATCAATCCAGAGTCACTTATTGCGAGAAATCCGCGGCACCCCGTGTAAATTGAAAAAGTAATTGAATTTAAAATGTGTACGCATCGGACGGGATGAAAAAGCTACCGTGGACGGTGCACGGTGATAATTTAATAGTGACCTGTTATCTGCTGGGGGAGGGTTGTCCAAATGTATGCTGGATTACTTAGCCTTTGTCCAGATTGGGGGGTCAACGTTTGTGAAAAGACTAATTGAATGGTTCACGGGTCCTAGTTGGTAGTTGGTATTTAAGTGCTAGAGAAAACGAAGCTTTGATTTTTGAGTGACGTTGTCCCTATTCTGTAAATCTTGTAATCAAATATTCAGTGTATTGATATACTATGTACTCTTGTTACAGGTGCAATTAGAGTCATTTTTACAAATTACAATCTATGTCAAATATAGTATATGGTCAAATAAGATTGAGATTTATCCGTATTAACAGTATCTAAGCAGATTTTAAAATGAATACAAAATGAAATATCCGCAGCAGCAATTGTACAGAATCCTGAAACACCAACAAAAACAAATTAACACACCATTATCGAACCTAAATCGTATACAAATAGAACCTAATCTTGTATAAACATTCGTCGTTTTGTGTTCGCAAACAAAAAGCGAAGCGCGCGAAAAAGTAACAATGTACTAACAAAAGATATTGCAAACAAACTTAACACGCCGAGGACTGAACAAATATTGCATTGTATCCGAAAACAATTATTATAAGAAAACAACACAACGGCTCATGTATTGTCGGAGGGAAATGTCGGAATTTCTATGGGAATTCATATATGAATTATAGGAATGTATGTCACCAATATTATGAGCAATAAGTTATAGATCTACTAATGCTTTGATGACTAAAAGAGACTGAGCCTCACGACACAGGGAATCCTAGTTTTTATTATTTTTTTTATACTTTATAGGTCGACGTTTGACCACCATCTCACCGGTCGTCTGGTGGTACGGTGGTGAAGTGGACTAGCCCATAAGTTTGTGCAATTCCCACGCACACTCACCGAAATGGGATAGTGTGGGATCTAGGATCATACAAAAATGTAATGTTAAGCTTTTTGCCAATAAACATAACATAATATAACATCACGCCTTTTATCCCCGAAGGGGAAGGCAGATGTGCACATTACGGCACTTAATGCCACTGTACAATGTAACACACACTTTTCACTATTCATGTTATGAGTCCCATAATAGGGTGTGAGCTTATTGCCCTACGCCGGGCACAATTCCAAACTCCGTGCTACTACTGAGAATTTTTAAATACCCAGTAATACTTTGCCCGACCCGGGAATCGAACCTGAAACCCCTTGCCCGGTAGTCGCATTCGTGACCGCTCGGCCAACGAGGCAGTTGTTTTTGTCATAGTAATGTTCATGCCATTCTGATTTTTTTTTTTGTGGGACAAGCCCGCCACAACCTCCCAAAACCGCTGCAACTCCTGTAAGCCAGGATCTACAGTAGATACAACCATGAAAACACCGGAACATTGAAGTCCGGCGCGTCCCAGGGACATGAGTAACTGTCTTGGTTCCCGCAACGAAATGAATCAGAAGATATTATAAGAGGAGAAGAAGAAAAACTATGGTTTTCACTTCCCTCGGTGAATTACTGCAGGAGACAGAATGAATTAAGCCTAAAGGCACAAAGAAGAGACTGTACAACTGGGTGAAGCCCAGTCGCCAAGCACCACGGAAATTTGACTAAAAACTAAGTGGGTCCTATGTGTGAGCTGTTATACTTGCTTCCAATAATAGGTATGGCAAAAACGCCTAAACGCACGGAAATTCGTTCTAGATTCCACAAGGTCCGTATAATAAACTACACCTGACGAAACAATTAAATTATTTAACATAGTGTTACGTTCATATTGCCAGAGATCACACTCCCAGAGTATGTGATGGGCCGACTGCTCGTATCGCAACTCCTCTGTCGAACATTGGCACCATGGTGAATCAATAAGTTTAAATGAGAACAATTTGCCTTTAAAGTTGCCGTGGCCAGTAAGAAATTGGGCAACACAGTGATCCACCTCCAACCATGTCCTCTCCAGCCGCTCATGCACGGATGGAAAGAACTGATACAGGTGGCGGCCCTTAATAGAAGATGCCCATCTACCCTGCCATTCAGTTATAAGCTCATCCCAAACGTCCGTTATTGGCTTAAACAATCTTGCAATTTTATTTCTATCACGTTCTGCCAGAAAGCTTGCTGACAAATTAGGTCTCGCACTGTAGTACATAGCAGCACGTCGCTGCACCTCAAGATCTACCGGAAGTACGCCCGCGAGCACAGGTAGGGCTTCAGTGCTAACCGTCCTATAAGCCTTACACAGGAAAATCAAGGCTAGACGCTGGCCTTGAAGAAGTTTTCGCCGTACCGCGCCTATTGTGGCCCTATCAGCCCAGACAGGTGCCCCGTAGCACACGCATCCCAGGTAGGTTGCTCCGTATATGATCCTGAGCGTAAGAAAAGAGAGACCCCAGGTGGCTTTTGAAATTCGCGTCAGCGCATAGAAGTTTTTTTTGGCTTTCTCACTAATAGCCTTAATATGCTCAATGAAAGAAAAGTTTTTTTCCAAAACTAGACCGAGATAGCAAACCGACTCCTTTCGTTTTACGGAAACGTTGTTAAATTTAATAGACGGCCACGACTTTAGATTTCCTTTAAGCAATAGCTGGTAAGTTTTATGGGGTGCAAAAGTTAAGCGATTTCGTTCGCCCCATCGCGAGATCCTACTGAGACAGTCTTTAGCCAAATTCTCCAGTCCGGCGCGGGTATTTGACTGTACTAGCAAAAGGCCATCATCCGCATATCCAGTCAAAGTACAGCCACAAGGAAGGGGAATCGCGAGCAAATCATCAAATCCTAAATTCCATAAATACGGACCGATAACCGAGCCCTGAGGACATCCCATTGATAAAGACTTCGACCGAGAACAATGACCAAGCTTCAGTTTAACGGAACCGTGAAGGAAATACGTGTATATTAATTTATATATGTTACTAAAACAGCCACGACCTTTCAGTTTTAAGAGTAACATTGGCCACCATGCGTTATCAAAGGCACCGGAAATGTCCAGAAAAATGCCTACTATATACTTGTGTTCAGACGAATTTACCATGGATCGGACAGAAAGAGCCGCGTCGACAGTAGACTTTCCTACAGTGAAACCAAATTCTGATTTCTGAAACCTGGCTCAAGCCGCAACTCCTATCTACTACCTACCCCCTTACAGGTTGTCGCGGAGAACCTAACGGGTAACCGGGGCTCCGACTCGTCGTGCAGGAGAAGGAACGGGGTGGTTTTTAGTCAGTAAGAGTCTGACACTCCCTCCCGCCTCACCCAGGCTGGAGCAGTCATTCGATGATTTTCTCCCCTTAAAAAAAAACCCCTTACAGGTTACATTCTGCTTAGGAATGACCGAGGTAAATAACATATTTCTATTAACACAAATAAGTAGATGACCACATACAAATAAGTGTTCGATTTGTATTGTTAACGGTTGTTAATCAAACTTTGGTCATAATATTTGTGTTGCACAGTCAATTTTAAATGTACAATAACTGAATTAAACAAGGTACATCTCATCATCTGAGTACAGAAGATTGTTTTGTTACGAAAGAGCAAAGGTAAGTTCGACAGGTCTATTGAATTTCCATTAAGTATTGATGATACTCATAAATAATTGGTTTGCTGTCTATACAAAACATAACAGGAATATTGGACAATTATTTTCCTTACCAATCTTTTGTAAGATAAAGCTTTGTCTATTATTTTGCTATGAAGTATAGCAATATTGTCTCAACACAAATATAAATATCATTATGTAAGATGTATCCAAGAAAGTAGGTTTTAATATACCTGTCGTATTCTTAGTTCTTTCACAAATTATCAACCTTAAAAAAATATGACCTTATTTACTTCTATTCTGACCTTTTCTGAGAAAATCAATCATTTCTTGTAACAATTTTTTTATCTTTCTATCCTTGAATAGATTAAAAACACAAATTTAATATTCATGGCCGGCGTGCCTTTTGTAAATAATAATATTTTATTATTTAAAACAAAACTCATAAAATAAAAAAAAAACGATTTCACAAAATATGTAAAATAAAAGAATCGAATAAAAACTTTTTTCTAATAAAACTTCTATATACCACCTCCATGCACCCCAAAGAGATTACAAGTGTAGCAGAGATAGCACGGACTGGCACGAAACACAACACTGACGTTCGAATTTCGAACGGCATCAGTGCGGTCGTGGCTGCCAATCGTATCCTACTAAAATGGCGGCTAGAACAGGTGACAGGTCGAAATGGAGACGAAGAAAATGCTCCAAAAGTCCTACAGAAGACGACAATGATTGTGCGAGCCTTGCATGGTTATTGAACTTCAGATTGGACGATTTCGTGAATATCAAAGTGCCAGACGATGAGCCTGTGGTGAAAGAGCCGAAGGTGGATATTCCTGATACACCGCCCGCACTGAAGAAACCTCCGTACACATACCCAGAGCTGATAGAAAAAGCTTTGCGAGAGAACGGGGAGCTGACGGTGTCTGCTATATATCAATGGATTTCGTAAGTAGAACTTTTTTTATGATTCCACTGCATTTAAACTATTGATACGTCATCTTATGAAAATATAGGTATGTTTTATTTTAATAAAAGACGCGGCGTAGTTGATGTAGAAATTATTGATGTTATATTTTTGCAGTTCATCGGTACTTACATTATTTTTTATCATCTTGTGATATTAATATATGTACATATGTAAATGCAATGCGTGTATTTTTGTACAAGTTGTATGTAGCCTTTGTATGAATACGACATTATGACCTGATGTGGCGTAGATAATATTTTGATATTTTCTCTTATTTTACAATCTTCAATATAATAATGCTACAGTGTGCTATAGTATGCTTCTACTTACACTGTTGGAGAATAAAAGGTGAGATGTCATGTCTTATTTGTAGATCTACGACTGATTATGTTCTACAGTTTTATTTCTTTCAAATCTTTAATGACTTTATGGCCGTTTCTGTGAACTGATTGCTATACCTATCATGACAAAAACTTACTAACCCAATTGAAAACCTCTTTTTTTTTAACTCAGTTAAAAAAGGTAAATTTGCTCAACTGTCTTACCATTTATACGTAGTTTACATATTCGTGGAACTTGTACGCAGTATTGTTACATAATAAATGCTGCGTCAAATGGATACACGTAAGTCTATAAACTTTGATCTATATATCGTTTTTATAGTTTTATTCAACGGTAATAAGTATCATCGGTGTCCGATATTAACATTACACTACTAATATTCTTATAATAATAATGTGCTTCGCCCGACTCGTAAATTGAACCCGTGACCACTTGCTTGGCAGTCAAACGTGAAAATATTTAACTGAAGAATGAGTTCAGAATGAGTTTTGTTTATATTTACAGTTTTTTAAGGGACGAAAATCATCGAATGACTTTCGCACCTTGGAGTGTCACTCTTACTGACTAAAAACCACCCTGTTCCTACTCCTGCAATTCGCGCCGGAGCCCCGGTAACCCATTAAGTTCTCCGCGGCTCCGTATCGGCATCAGCCCCAGCCGAGGCGGTCTGATGGCTCTTTGAGGCGCGCACGGAACGCGACCCACCGTACGCTTATAGTTACAGTAGGCCACTTTTTTCCTTTGACTGTGCGAGCAAAGGATTCAGGTGACAAGTTGTAGTTCGACGTGGAGGACTAATGGGAGGTCTTTGTCCAGCAGAAGACAGATCTGTCAGTCCGACGTTGATAATCGGGATGGTAATGAAATGAAAATAATAACGATGAAGTTGATGATGCGAGTAAAGCCGCAGGTAACAGAAAGCCATTTCATTCATTGATCCATTTGATATCAAATTGCTTGTTTGTATTCCAATTAATCAATTTTTACCCAACAATAGCTTTTATACCAACTATTATAAATACAAAAGAAATTGTGCCTCTGTTACCTGATGGTACTATTGTGTATGGTGATATCTCTATTTGTTCGTGTTATAATACAATTTAGTTTTCTTTGTTCAGCTATTAAGTAGAATATAGGGGAAAATTAGTAGGTTTTAGATTTATTTGACGGCAGTATGTTTGTCTGCCTCATTAGTTGAGTGAATACATTTTAAGTAAATGATGTCTGGACATCGTTTAGCACTCTTCAATCAAGAACATCAGAGTTCTAGTTCTAACTTAACCTATGAAGTTTCTTGCTCGTTCTTCTCCATAAAAATCTACACCTTGGAATGAGCAAATAGCTTCATTTTTAATTTTTTTTTGTTGTTGTTTTTTAATTGAAATAAGTGATTTTGACTTTGACTTTGATTAAGACTAAGTTTGGAAAATATTCTGGTGCATAATAATGCAATAGCATAATTATTCACTTCAGCACTTTTCATAAAAATAGCAACCACTGTATGTTTTTTTGTGTGAAAAACCTTAAATGCGTAGGCTGCGTGATGTCGTCGCGACCGTACACGCTGCTCTCTATATATCGGAAACTACTTGAGCTATTCTCAGTAGATTTATATAAGTAAACAGTTATCTTTAGTCAAAACCCCCAAAGTTCAATTATTTTAAACCGGTAAGGTTTACACAGGGGTGCCACATTTAAATCAACTATAATGAGATTCCTACACCAAACATCTAGGCTCCGGTTCGAAGCGCAGGAGAAGGAACGCGGTAGATTTAGTCTGCAAGAGTCTGACTTTCCCTCCCGCCACACCCAGACGGATGCAGTCAATCGATGATTTTCACCCCTTAAATAAAAAACTCCAAACATCTAGGATGGCTTAACCTGTTACAACTGTGTTCAAGAGATAGCCAGATAAAAGTGTCACAGGTACACTATAATTACATTTTTCACACGAACTTATTTGTCGGGTACAACCTACCCCCTCTTATCATAACTGTACCGATTAAATAAACAACGCTAATCGAACAGATTACCACGAATCACAAAGCTCCCCTCTAAACGGTAGTGAACATTATCGCGATAATAAATTAATAACATTCCCCCCTCGGTAACGCTCCGATAAACATCGCAATCCTGCTGTTAACCATGTCAACGGATTGCTGATAGCGTAATTATATCGCTGCGATTACTAGATATAGGCCACGGAGCCTTATTGAATGTTTGTGGCGTTTGCACTAAGCGTTACTGTTTCATATCATTACGGTTTTAATAATAATAAATTAAATTTACCAGACCACAGAACAAACAGACACCGATAGAATCTTTGTTATAATAATTTTTGAAAAGATCCTAATTACCCAACAGCACTGATCAATCAGGAATCGAACTTGACACACCTACCTTTTTCGGCGAACCATTCGACTTGACCAATGAGATAAAGATATACTGTTACCTGTACAAAAAGTGGGTAAAATATAGATGGGTACAAATCTAGATGGTTAAGGTCGTCGTGCATACTTTTGTATTGTTTATTTGTCACTTGTGAAGAATATAATGTTAAAATAAATATCGTAACATCACACGTAACAGCAATATTTTTGTTTGTATTTACTTTTACTATTTGATCTATACTTTTTTCTAATCACAACTTTTCACACACATACGCACGCATACACATATGCACACATAGTCTGCAGAATTTATTTTATCTATTTAATATCATATTAAAATATATTTTCTTTTCCTTATTGAGGGGCGGTACCGCCGTCCGTGAGTCACTGCAGGGTGCCACCTGAAAATCAGCGTTGGGCAGGAATGCTCAACTATATGCTGAGGTGGAGGCCCTTTTGGCATGTGCACACGCAGTATTATATTATTTATATTATGGTGTTTTTTTTTGTGTATTTAATTTGTCTTTATATCAAAAACTTATTTCAATATTGTTTCATATGTACATTATTTTCTTATATTTTGATGATTTTTATTATTTTCTTTATGCTTTTATGTTTCCTTTTGATATTATGTATTTGTGTAAGTATGTACTTGTATTTTTTTTTTATTTTTCATAATCCTTGTTTGTGTGCCATGTGCCAAATAAATGCTTTTTCTTTCTTTCGTTCTTTCAATATCTATCTCCATCTCGTTAGTCAAATCGAAACGCCTTTTACCCCTGAAGGGGTAAACAGAGGTGGACATTGTGGCACTTAATGCCACTGTACAATATAACACCCACTTTTCATTATTTATGTTATGTAATAAGGCATGAGTCTATTGCCATATGTATATCGAGCACAATTCCAGATACCATGTCTAAATTGTAAATTAATTTATATACGTGTGTAAATTAATATTAAAAAAATAGATTTATCACAACAACGTTTTCACAAGATCAATGAAAAATTTTACATGTATCAAAAAGTACAACGCCTGTAAACATTGTTGATCAGATTGTCATTTCCCACCCTATTATAAAAAAGCTTTTAAAACCTTAGATAAAAGCAAAAAAAAAAACACGTAACATATCGCTTCCACGTAGGCTCTCCCTTTTCACGTTTAATCCCCATACCAATTAATAGGCAGGTGCAACACAATATCCATCAAAATTTGACCCGGGCTTGTTTTTAAACCATCAATAACGATATTGAAAGCTTTAAAGAATAACCGACCTTGATGACCTTTAAATATGATGTAAAATTATCTATGCGATTGGTTTTTGTTTTTAATTCGATAAATAAAAACAGGTGCATAGGCCTGGTACAGTATTAAATAATTCTGGTGTCGTGCATCGGTCGGTCGCGGTTCGCAGAGCAATCGATCTCGGTGCCAGGCGGAGACGGGACGCGTGCCCTAGCTACGAGGTCGCGTGCCCCGATGTCTCTTGTAAACATAATACAATTTAGCGTTAAGCAGGTGGTGTTATATTAGATTTTGGGCCTCAGGAACGTTTACCGGTGCTTGATGAGAAGATTATTTGAAGTCTTTTTTTCTCAGAACTTATATTTTTTGTTAATTTTAATAATATTTTGATTGCTGACTATAATCTAGTAGGCCGCCCAGTTTATTACAAATTGTAAAATATTTATTAAAGTTAATATAAAGCAGTAACCATAATATTAGCTCCATCGTAGCTTGTACAAGAGTATAGAATGACAATAATAGGTATAACAACTCGCTTGTCTTGAAGTCCTGAGTGAATAGATAACTCATAGGTAGCGAGTGCTCCATCGTCGGCCACATCGTCGCTTACCACCAGGTGATATGGTGGCAAATAGTCAACATATCAAGTAGGTATAAAAAAAATTAAGTGTATGAAATGATACTTAGTTGGTTTCGTTTGAGAATTAATACTAATGCCATTGTCAAAACTATGACTGATGATGAAGCGAAAGAGGTATGTAGGAATCGTAGCAATTGGCGTTCCATAGTCTACCTACCGCCATGTGATACAGACGTGAAGTTATGTATGTATGAATATCAAAACTAATCTTTTATTTCCTTGTTTCCAGGGACCGTTTCCCCTTCTACAAAGCTAATGATGAACGCTGGAAGAACTCAGTAAGACACAACTTATCCATCAACCCGCACTTTCGGAAGGGTGCCAGAGCTCCACAAGGCGCTGGTCATCTTTGGTCTTTGGCTGCCAACGCGATAGACCTGCTGCCACTTAGGAACCCCATGCTTGAAGAGAAGAAGACTGCTGATGTTATCGAAAAGACCAGGATTTATGGGTTCCCTAAGGTAAGAACTGATTGTAACGACTCTATTATATATGTGAGATTTATTTTTAATAATTTCTTCATATTTTGTTGTTGACGGTACAAAGTATTTTTTGTTGCCAGGCCTTTAATTAATTCAGAAAGAAATATAATTCAAGTATTTGTCAAAATTCCTCGTAGAACCGAAGCACTTTTCATCCTCAATATTATGTGAAGACATGATCTCGTTAGCATACAGCTACAGTTAGATAGAAATTTTATCTCCAATTTTTGTTTAAGTAAAGAATATATTTTTAAAAATGTTTGTCAATTTTTTATCTAGGATAAAATAAGTAAGTTTTTGGAGTATTACTGAACTTCAGTTTCGAAGATAGCATTTATGATAAATGCTGACGAAAATTTAAACAAAGATTATAAAACTATTTCTTTTATAACATCTCGCCTTTCATCCTCAAAGGGCAGAGGTGCACATTACTTAATGCCACTGTACAATGTAACACCTACTTTTCACTGTTTATGTTATGAGTCCCACGTAATAGGGGGTGAGCCTATTGCCGTATACCGGGCACAATTTCAGATTCTGTGCTTCTACTGAGATTTTTTTTAAAAACCCTATAAGTACTTTGCCCGTCCGGCAGTCGCACTTGGGACCACTCGGCTAACGAAGTAGTCGCGCCCAAACATATGTACATAGATACATGTAAAACTGAGAACCTTCTTTATTTTGAAGTCGGTTAAAAACAATAACATAAGCTCGTGACGGTTGTCTACTAGATTATGAACCTTCTTTATACTGTCAAACATCGCGAGGACACCGGTGACCGCAACCTATTGTTCTTTAAACTGTCAAACACTAAGCGGTTACTGGTGACCGCAACCTATTGTTCTTTAATTGTGTCTATAGTGACGGGACACAACGAGTTAATTGTGTCTATAATGACGGTACTCAAAAAGTTAAATTAGAGGGTTTGTTGTAGCTGCTTCTGGAGTTTAAAAGGTTCAGGTTTATTAAAAACCGTTGTGTTGTCCTGGTGTCTGTCTATCAAATTAATGCTCGTCCATATAGCGCTGTGAATCGATTCAATACGTAAATGTTGTAATAGAAGATTTTGAGTGCATGTATTTATTACGGTTTCAATGGGTTCCAGGTGATCGTGTTGGATGAAGCAGCCATCGCAGCTGCCAGCATCATACCGGACCAAGACTTATTTACAGGTAGCACAAGTGAGTATGGTTTTGTATGTCTACTCCTTTTTGTTAAAGATATCTGGTTGCTCGCTTATTATCTATTATAGTCTGTTAACAATTTTTCAATCGTAGATTATGCCTTTGATATTAATTATGCTGAATACTTAACTTCGGTAATATTTCGGTAAAGTGATAAATAAATAGACTAATGAAACCTTTATTATTTGGGTCTTATTTTATTCAATAGTTTTTATACTTTATTTGTACGTACCTATCTATACATTAACAGGATCCCACCTTAAACGGGTACGGCAATATATCCATTGAGTTCGTTTACAAACATCTGATCATTTTCTAAATGTTATGATTTTATAAATTCGTTCATTCATCAATAGCTTATAAATGCCAATGGGCATTTATTATTCAGCAGTGGCTGATCAAAGCCTCTTCTCACACGGAGAAGGTTTGAGCATTAATCATCACGCTTGCTCAATGCGGGTTGACAATTTCAAACTTATAATTAGAAATTATAAGCCCAGGTTTCCTCACAAAGTTTTCCTTCACCGTTTGTTAGTGGTGTCTAAATAATCTTAGAAAGTACGTATAATACGGAAAAGTCACATTGATGCTGCTGTTGGTAGGTTTCGAACTCGGACCCTCGATCATGCATGGAAAGCGGGCGTCTTAAGCCTATGAACCATTATGACGTTTTTATAAATGCATTATTTTACTTCATATATCTCTTTCTTTCTTTCCAGTGTTCCTAAACCCTGTGTCGACGGAGCAAGTGGTCAGGGAAAGTGGGCTCATCACAGTGGATTAGAAGATAATGTTTGTGTCAATTTAATATTATTATAATATTACACCAGACTCGTCTTGTTGATTATCATGTTGGGCCAAATTAATTACCTATGCAAAATTACCTATGAAAGAGATAGGTATCTTTAAACTTTGTCTGTCGTAAAACTTCCTTGAATTAGTCATAACCTAAACGGTATTTAGGTATTTTAAGTACATACATTTGGTCTGTTTGTCGGCAGCTGAGCTCAGTTCTAGGAAATAGGAAATTGGCTTAGCTAAAATATACTCTTCATGAACTTCTTCCTTTATTGCTGACCCAGATGGTGATTCGTTATTTAATGATGGTGTGCTTTAGATAATATATGTAATTGATTGAATACAAAAAACCTACTATTATAATATTATCTTGCATATATATATAAACAGTTTTCTCCAAAACATTTCCTGAATCCCTTGAGTAGTCATCATGATTATCGGCAAACTACAACATAATATCAACAAAACGAGTCGAATAAATTGTTAAATATAAATTAGTAATTAATAAACAACGGAATGCGTTAGAGTAATTCGGCGATCTCATACAGCTAGTGCGTATTGTAAGGCTATGTATTTGATAGTAATTGGTTTTAATAAAATATTGAAAACTAATAACGTTTTTCAAATCTAAAACTACCTATAGATATGGGATGGCGTTGATGACAAAATATTATAAATAAAATAGTGTAATCACATTATAAGCTCACAGCAAGCGGTATGTTAAAATGTGGTTAACTGGCTACAATTGACCTCAGTGCAGTGTTGCACCGTCTATATTCATGTGTGCGCTAGTGTGTCGTTTTTAAGATAGATTTTTTTGCGACATACTGGTCGCACTATGTGATAAGAGCGACCAGTATGTCGAAAAAAAATCGACATAACATCACACCTTTTATCCCCGAAGGGGTAGGCAGATTTATGGGGTAGGCACTTAATGCTACTATACAATGTAACACCATCTTTTCACTATTAATGTTATGAGTCCCATGTAAGAGCCGCACTTATCATTGCATCTTATTCAACCATTGCCTTATATCCACACGTCAGATGTTCTCATTTACCTGTAGTGCCATTCGCTCGACACTTCTTCTCTAGATTATGTTAGTAGCTCTCAAAAATAATTTGGTACGCCTAACAAAAGCTGTAGACGTCACAATAATACTTAACGTGTACTTAAAGAAGGTTTACAACGAACAAAGGGTCTATTTGAATATTACATTCCTGGGTGACACTTACTAGACCAAAAAGATAAAGAACAGAAGTTCTACAGTGACGAATGTCATAGCAGTTAGTAAAAGATCGTTGTCTGTTTCGAATATGACTAAAAATTATTTAAATATACATAGTGGCAGTCCCGTCTTCAAAAGAGGACAAGTCGTAGATTTTATGATGTCTATTTTTTAGTTTTATATTTCTTTAGCGCTTCTCTTCACTTCATAATAATACCTCTATAGGTGCGTCTTACGTACTGAATGACTGATACGCATTGTTTATTAGATACTCAATAACCAAAGAGATATTAAAATTAATAAAACAATAAGACCAAAACACAGATCTATTCTGTTGGTCAACATGAACATCATTCGAGATATGTCTCCATCATCAATTTCTGGACTTATCACGCAGTATATACTAGCGGTTTTTAAGATGTAAATGGTGTTTTTTTATATCTTTCTTTACTGACGCATAAAAATCATTGCAAATAGACCTTCTTTTCTACTTTCCCTACATGTAGTCGAGAGGGTCTGGCCTGACATTGGTCTGACATGACGTCAGTTAGGGCCACATGTCGCGGTTTCATAATAATAGTACATCAGCCACCTTACCACGTTTATCTTGGTTCTAGTAAAATGTCTGCAGTAGTTGAAATCTGTTTCTCAATATAGAAATTATTTTAGAAGGGTATTATCATTGTCGAACTTGTTATTTTCAGCAGAGTAATACTTGTGTAAATTAATAGAAGTAAATAGAGTTATGTAATGAAGGATTAATTATTTATTGGTCAGAAGCTGAACCCAAAATCACTGATTTAGTTTATGCGATTGCTACACCCTGGATGAACACTTTTCTATTTTTAATATGTTTTTTTTTCTATACTTACCGTAGTAAAATGCATGATATCAGAATTTAGACAAAGCATTTTTAATGGGCATGTGTACAGAAAAGCAGAAGTCTAAATATATTCAGCTACATCAAAACTAGCTTACTACAAATTATGTGCTGTTGTTTATGTCTAAAGAATGTCGGCTACAGCCCGGTTTACCTTTCTGACATGCGTCTTTGCACTACATTTCATACAACAATAATTATGAACCAGTGTCTTTGTTTATATTACGAGTATGTAGAGATGACCTTTTATGCCAGTGGGCACGCTAAGCCTTGTTTCTTTCAAAGGAGTATAACACAATTATGTACCTTCTTTTTAAAGGGGAGAAAATCATGTAATTACTTTTCCCGCCTAAGCTGAGGCAAGGGGGAGTGTTAGACTCTTACTGACTAAAAACCACTCTGTTCCTACTACTGCTCTTCGAGCCAGAGCTCCAGCAACTCGATAAGTCTGTATCTACTTGTATCTTTTTACCATCAACGTACCGTATTGATAATGGTGGTGCCATTTTTAATGTATAGTTCACTATTGGGACTATGGACATGTCTATACATACGAAGGTTTTATTTTTTCACTATAAAATTATAGGTGTAACCTACAATTATTCACTTCAATTTTTATCAACTATACGGGTCTCAAAAGAAGTCTTGAAAATTGCAAATTGAATAAAAATTCTGTCAGACCATTTCTTCTAGTGAAGTGACCCAATTTCTGTAAGTTGACCCTTGAGACAATGTGGGACGAAGCAATCTGCGCTTTCTTTCCATTTATAGTCCAGAAGATTCGATAAAAATACTTTCGCATTCATTTGACTAGTTCACCCCACGGCGATACTTGGATAAATAAGTGTAAACTTGGTTAAAAAAATATGTAAACAGAATTTGAGTTTGTTTTAGAAGAAAATAATTTACGTTTACTGTAAAGTGCTTACGAAAACTTAGATCTTATCCCTTGATATTTTTTGTAAATCTATTTTGTTGTTCAAACTTTACAAAGTATTATAGTTTATATTAGTATTATAGTTAATAAAGTGTACAGTAAATTTTCCATGTATCTACTGATATTGTTAGGTCTACCATATATTCACACTTAAGTTCAATGAATAACAAGGATACCGATACACAAATATTTTGTTAATGATTTAAAATTCCAGTCGCGCATAAGAATCTCGTAATGACCAAGTAATTTTGTCTAAAGAGGTTACTTTAAAAAACTAAATAAATTTCTTAAACAATACGTGACTGAACTTAGTTATTGAGGATCTCGATTTTTATTTTCCATTGTAAATTGTTATTGTTGTATTAAACGAAAAAGTTTATTTTGATAGCTGAAGAAGCAGAAATCTGTTAAAAAAATTGCTCCAAGGTACATTATAACACATTTCTTGTCATCTTATCAAAGATTCTCCTACAAATAGAACACTAGAAAACAACTTGTACCTAAGTCGTATGGTCGTAACAACGATCTGAACTTAACAGACCCACGTCCCGCAATCCCAAAAACAAAGGCGGCAACACATAGAAACTATCACAAAATGCCCAAATTCACTGCAGCTAATGTTCCCAGAGGCGTGGTCTACAGTCGTACGTTACCACTCCGGGTCATCTCTGCTAATTTACAGCCTACCCCCAGGCTACCCGTAATACTCTCATACGGGATTATGGCTCATCCACCGCCTATTATAACGGACCAAATTGATTTACAATAGCACGGGTTAAGATTTACTAGGCTTAAGTGTTAAGCTGATCAAAGGTCAGTGATTTGGGTAATACGTATTGGACAATTGGTATTGTGAGATTATTATCTAATCTGATGTGGAATGGTAACGTTGGTTGGTTTGGATTTAATTCATTCATCTATTTTGGTTCGATGTTAGTTGAATTGTTTGATTGTGTTGTTGGTACATACGTGCTATATTTTACGTCAAATAATTAGTTGTAATGTGAAATTAATAGTTGTATTTGTATTACACTTATAATTAGAAGTAGAAGATTTTTCAATCTATAATATCAGGTGATATAAGAGGGGTAGGCCTAAGGCTATTTGATAGATAATTGCTACAAAGCAGTTATAAATTTGATTTAAATAAAATTAACTGCACGGTAGGAGCGGTGGCTGGGCAACTGGCTGCCGTGCAACATGTCGCAGGTTCGATTCCCGCTTGGAGCAACTCTTTGTGTAATCCACAGATTGTTGTTTCGGGTCTGGGTATCATGTGTATGTGAACTTGTATGTTTGTAAACGCACCCACACGGGAGAAAATCCTAGTGTGAGGCAACGTTCTTTTTTCTTAAACAAATGTATTTCTTGTGCGTCAATTTGTAAACTTGTTATAATATTTTTACTGATAATATACAGTGTAATATTACAGAAAGGGACATACAATTACAACTGTAAAAATACTCTAACAAATAGGATAAGTTAAAAACATCATACTTTATACCAGTTATCCGCTTCGTATTGTGGGATATAAAAACTTTTTTCATTATGCCGCATATAGGGAGCTGATTGAAAATAAGTGTCGCGTCCTTTTATTGTTTTATTGTGAACTCGTATATAGTTCTGCTATTGGAAACTGTATGTCCTTAAATCTCTTGATACGTACTTAAGTAATTACTAAGTTAAAACAAAATATACTACACATAATAGACCTTTGTTTTACAGTATACAAATGAAAATATACATATTCTTCTGAAAAATATTTATTAATACAATTGACAAGATACTATAAAAAGTATTTTATACAATCAAAATTATGTAAAATCACAACAACATAAAATTTTAGCTAAAACTGGTTGAATTTTTTATTACAAAATTCCTAAAATACTTGGTGATAAGGATAAATTTCTATATCTTTCCTGATTATTGCCCTAAATTCCTCGTTTCTTCTAAGGTTGAAGGCAGTTCTATGTTCTTCGTCTCAGGTAGAAATATACACAGAAATCCGCCTATTATGGCCAAAACTCCGAATGTGCATCCTGAAACCAGCGGCGGCAGAGAATTCATGGGCGGTGCAACTATCTGGCCGACCCTCGACATTACAGATAAAATGCCTAACACAGAATTCCTAATAGCAGTAGGAAACAACTCAACACCATATAGGAAAACAATTATAAAAGACATGAAAAAGAAAGTGCACCCAGCACACGCAGTCAATACTTTAGCCACATTTGCAGAATCTGGAATAAGAATGACTATTATCATGAATGTCCCTGATAGAAAATTCGTCACCATTAGGAAAGATCTTCGCCCGAACTTCTGAAGTAAGTATGAAGCAATTAGTGTGCCTGGTATCAGAAGTGCTCCTGACAAGGCTACATTGGCATGGATGTTGCCGCTCATGTGGCCTATGTACTGCGACACTCCATAGTACCCCATACCACACACAAAGTATATAAAGGCCATACATAGAAAGTTAATGGTCAATCGTCTGTAGTGGAAGATGTGCCAGAAACTTGCTTTTTCTAATTTTAACGAAGCTTGTGTAGATGCATATTGTTCCAAGTCATGTCTGATATTCTCGGAGGGAGCGTTATTGCTGAAAAACAATAGTCAGAAAATATTTTTTTTATTTCAAAATGGCTCGCCATCAGTAACTATGGATTTGTTTGAGATAACATAACATAGCATCACGCCTTTTATCCCCGAAGGGGTAGGCAGAGGTGTACATTATACCACTGTACAATATAACACCCACTTTTCACTATTTATGTTATGAGTCCCATGTAATAGGGGGTGAGCCTATTGCCATATACCGGACACAATTCCAGACTCCGTGCTATTACTGATATTTTTTTTAAAACCCTGCTCGACCTGAGACCCCCTGCCCGGCTGTCGCACTTGCGACCACTCGGCCAGCGAGGCAGCCTTTGATTTGTTTGAGATGTAATGATTATTACTATACACATCAATATTGACTAGCTTTGAGAGCTATTACAATAATAATTGTTTTTTAATACTCACTATTTAGCGATCTTGATCAAGATTTCAGACGCCCTGTCCACTTTATTTTCATCTAGCAACCACTTTGGGGATTCCATGGTCATACACCATAGAAAAAGGCAGAGGAACGCTGGTATAGATATAACCAATTGGAATATATCACTGTTTCTAAAGAGATATGATACACCAGCCAGGGTCATGTGACTAACGTTTATGGGCACGTGGTACAGAGCAGTCACCATTTCCCTGTAACCGAGTCCACAGTACTCAACCAATAGCACGTAGCTAGTGACTATGGCTCCTCCAATGCCTGCTCCTTCAATGCATCGCATTAGAATAAAGGTAGGAGCTGTGGGCATGTAAGCAGTTAGGACGCCGGCCACGGAGATAATCAGACAAGTCACCATGAACATAAACAGTCGCCCGTATCTGAAATACAAGAGCAATATTTAATTCTATATTCTTATCTCTTTATTTACAGAGGATAAAGTTTTCGCAGATTTTCTACTTAAACCCTAAGGTTGACTGGTAGAGAATGCCATATGGCATTAAGTTTGCCTTATGTGTATAAACAAATTATGTACATTAAAGAATAAATAAAGATTTTATGAAATATGGTAGGTATTGAAGTAAGACAACCTTTTCGAAAAAATAAATAAAATTAACAAAAACAAATAATCAAACCTTTTGAGGTCCAAAGGGGCAGACAAGCGCTGTAAAATATTAACGTAAGTAATACCCATTTTTCACCAGTTACATTTCCAGTTCCATCTAAAAGACATATTTTCCTGAAATAATCCAAATCTACGCGGTCATTAGGACAAAATGAAACAACACAGATTAGTAAAAAAATGATAAAATATTATTTTAAAATACAAAATAAGAGTACTTAGTAAAAACCATCGACCAAAAGAAAAAGAAAAAAGTAGAGAGAACGATAAACACAATGAAAAAGAAATCTGCTAACAGCTTAATGCTAATTTTATTATATCTAGACTAAATGGTACATATTTTAGCCATGATTTTGATGATAGTGTGTATTGTCCTTAATATTAAATTGTCACTTATACCTTGGAGTGTGTTATTTATCTCTAGTTATTTATGACTTATGAATTTTTTAGTTGGCATAGCACAGGCAGAACTTTCATACGCCACCTATCAATATAATGAACAATTTCGAACTGCTATCAGAATAAAATTTTTCATCATTTCCAGTAGAATGTAAACTCTCAGACGGGTGCTTAACTTAATTAATTGGAAACGTGTGTCAACGTTCATCAGTGCTTTAAAATTAATTTTGAATGACGACACTCAATCTCTGATAGGAATTTCGATGATAATTGAAGTGCTAAAATTATCGTGTTATTGGTAAAAATTAATTATTTGGTACTGATTGTTCTAAAAGATAAAATGTGATTAAAAGTCATTATTAAAGTAGACTTATTTTAATCAATAACATTTCTTAGATACACTGACTTTTTTTGGCTTAGTCTATGGTCAAAAGAAAGGGACTGCTCAAGTAGTGCTGACAGTTCCTGTTCATCTAAAGTATTGTATGTATTTACCTTTTATGGCTTTGCCATAATTTGAAATGATTTTTTTTTGTATTATACAATAAAGAATTAAATAAATAAAGCCAATGCAAAGCGCATTTACAATTACTCTTTCATAATTGCACTACCAGATAAATGGCAAGGCCATATGATGGGTATTCCACCTATGTACACACGAAACGTACTGCTTCAAGTTCTCTCATAAGAAACACCAAGGAGTGGTACTTTGATAGATTCTGTGTATCCTCAGTGTCTTCAGGGTTGCGTATGGGCAGGTGTACTCCATCGTTGACGACATACTTAGTGCAGGTGCAGGCAAAATAGTGGCCTACTAACAATAAAAAATTAAATAATAAAAATAAGGAACAAAGAAAAATATTTAGCAAATTATGATTTTTATAGAAGATTCCTACTAAATATTTAAAGTACATACTTGTCAGCTAAGATCCCGAATGTCAGAGCTCCGATCAGGGATCCGACGTAGAGCATACTTTGCGTGAAGCTCAGCATCCATTGGTTGCCACAGTAGATCCCGTATTTTGTCTGAATGGTTTTAGTGAACACACTAAAATCCCATTTAGGGTGTTCACAAGGGCATGCATTCGTTCCATTTGGGCCTCCGCAGTCATAATTCATTGGTGGAGACATGAATATCAAACTCAGTATGTGCCAGAAGATAGGTATTTTTGTCAAGAAGAGAAGAGTAAAGAAGTAGTAGTGATATCTTGTGATTTTGTGGAAAAATCTCTCTACTGGATGTTTTGACTCTATCATTTTGTCTGATCTTGTTGGTCCGGTTTGTTATTTCCTTATGTCAAGTATATTGTATCATAATATTAGTGAAAGACTAACTACCTCGTTACATTAATTTGTTAAGTTACGTTTTGCTATTAATTATTTGCTACACTTCACTATTAAATTTTAGCAACAAAATCTAACAAAAAATGTGTAAATAATATCATGTTATAACAAGAAAATTACTTTGTTTTCTTTTGTATTGTCATATTGGCATTATACTGAAGTATTTTTATTTAATGCCATTGTTAAAATATATGATAATTCAAGAAGGTTTAATATATACCTTTAATGGAACTAGATTTATTTATGTTTGTCTATTTTTATTATCTGTGGCCGTTGGTTCTCACAACATTTGTGCAGGACGATGCCTTTTTATCTCAGTGAGGCGAGAGGGAGTGTGACTGCACTTCGAGCCGGAGCACCAGCAACCTGTTAAGTCCTGTGCGACGTACACTCGGGTCTGGTTCTGGTCGGGCGGTGAGTCACCCTTGCTCGCCATCCGCAAGTAGCACGGTGGCTGGATACGTGTCGTGGCATCAGTTCGATTTATTTGAGTGTATAATAATAATATGAGCATTTGTATGTTAACTTACTCGTAACAGGGAAAATCCTATGGTTAACAAAATAGAATAAAGTTATTAATATAATTTTTGTTCTCGTCATTTTCTTCGGGTATATTTGTCATCTCTGTGTATTCGACTATAACTAACGAACCTAATAAACTATACCTAGTATCATTAGTTCGTAAATAATGTGCGTACATAAGCTTCAAATGTATCCTGGTAACAATGTAAGTGGCATAGATTGGTTGTCTAATAATTAAATTATGGACGTAATTACTCCACTCAATTTACTGGCAGAATTGAGGCATTGTGGCAAGGCTTGCTTATGTTAGGCAATTTGTTACAATAGTCTGTAGCTCAACTAAATATGTGGAGGGAAATGGGTTCCCGAGTAATATTTGTGAGTGTAATAATTTATGAATAGTTGGGTTATTTTGAAAATTGATTTGTCTCGTATTCGGTTTGGTTTACATGTTTTACATTAGCCTGTTTATAGAATCGGTGAATGAACAGAATTGCTACTACTTACACTGTCAATTCGAAGAAAAAATTAACTAAAAGTGGTATAGTAGTTCCCACGAACTTACACTAAGTTTGTGTGAAAACCCACACCGCATAAACAATCGTTCAAAAATAAAAAAAAATACTTCACAGGCTAGTGACAAAAGAAAATCACTTAAATTCTCCAAAACCCATTAAATCTAATCCTAATTACCTTAAAGCCTTCAACACTAGGTAGATAATAAAAGATTAAAGTCAGGAACGAAGATGTTAGGCTGCGAGCACACCGAGCCAACTGTATCAGGAGCGTGCAAGTGATTTATGCACTGTGAACAGAGAACGCCTCGATAAGACCCGACGTGCAAGCCACCGACGTAATTTAAGCTCGTGTGGACCCAGCTTTGCGATATTCGTCAGTCGAATTTATAGCGTATGTGAGAAATTGGTACGTTATTTTTATGTTTTTTACGGAATTTTCTATTATTAGGTTTTTTATTGAAATCTGATTCTAAAATAAAATATTGTCCTGTAGCTGGGGTGCCTTGAGGAACATGTCTGACGAACACGAAATCTTGTCGTGTTCGTCACACATGTTCCTCAGCAGCCAGCTACCTAGCTGATTCGCCAGCTGTGTAGTCAGTTTACTGACTCAGTTTCATTTTCTTTAAAAGTTTATCGCAATCGCAACGATTTCATTAGGTTTTTATCACTATTTGACTTTCACCTTGAGGCTTTTTTAGTTTTACATAACATAACATCATGCATTTTATACCCGAAAGGGTAGGCAGAGGTGCATGTTACGGCACTTTGTGTCATTGTACAATGTAACACCACTTTTCACAATTTAATAGGGGGTGCGCCTATTACCATGTACCGGGCACATTTACATACTCCGTGCTACCACTAAGATTAAAAAAAAACAGTAATTCTTTGCCCTACCCGGAAATTGAACCCGAGACCCCTTGTTTGCCAGTCGCACTTGCGACCACTCTGCCAACGAGGCAGTCTTTTGGTTTTATGTGCTACTTAATTCCTGTATTTCATGACGTACCATCTTTTCAATGGGATTTTAATATTAATTTCTTTGCAAGTCCTAGTTCTATCCTTCTACCAATAAAATCTTCAAGTTGCATCTTATAATAAAACTATTTTCATGAATTTATTTTTTTTCTAAAGTGACTTATTAGTTTAGTAGAATTTTCTTTATTACTTTTAGTGTATCTTGAGTTGTACTTACATATTATTTTTTTCATTTCCTTATATTATTTAAACTACAACACCTTGTACAAAATACTAAAAATAAACACTTATTATCAAAGTTTAGTAGAAGACTTTAACATCAAATATGACCTACGTAAAATACTTTATTAAGCGTCATACTCATCTATACTAATATTATAAAGAGGAAAGATTTGTACCTATTTTTGTATGTTTGTAATGAATACGCTCAAAAAGTACTGGGCCGATTTAAAAAATTCTTTCACCAATAGAATGCTACATTCTTCCAATTTGACATAGCCTACATTTCATTTTTTAGAGATCCTTGGTAAAATTTGACCAATGTAACCGAAGGTGTAGAAAAATGAGTCTTAAAATGTCTTTCGTCGAATGTGCTGCCGAAACTATTAGCGATAGAACAAAATAATGTACAACAATATTGAAGAACATCATAATGTCTACAAAAAACTCCGCGGTAGCATATGTCCAACTATTGTACCTCTAGTTATGTCACTACTACAATCAAAATTTGCAAAATATAAATAATTGTCTACCCCGTGCGAAGCCGGGACGGGCTGCTAGTATGTAATAAAATAATACAAAAATATAAACCCAAGAACAATAGACGGTATCAGTAACAAAAAAGTAGTCCAACTAACAAGTAGAATGCTAAATTCATAGACGTAATGTTTGCAGTTGGAATTTCAGCTGTCTACGTCAAAATTTCTGAGAGTGCACTGGACAGACGTACGTTTATGACAGGAACAGACCCTTTGTATCATGTTATGCATCTCCAAGTGCATTGTTTCAACCAAAAAACAAATATGAACTAGAGTTTTTGATTACAAAATTATAGGATTTTTAAAAGGTATTAAGCTTTTTAGTTGTTGAACACGAATATGGATGGTTAAACTGTACTAACGTTGTATTAAAATGTTTACTGTTTCGATTGCAAGGTTGGTGCGGTGGCTGGGTAACTGGCTGCATCGCAACGTGTAGCGTGTTCGATTCTCGCACGGAACAACTCTTTGTGTGATCCACAAATTGTTATTTCGAATTTGGGTGTTATGTGTATGTGAACTTATATAATTATTTGCAAACGCACCCATACAAAATAGTTTGTGATAAAAATTACAATGAACGTTCAAAATGTTATTTAGGATTGGAGTATTTATTATAGTGACATCATTTATTACATTATATTTATTACAAAGTTACATACAAGTATCTATTTTATTTGCTCTATTAAATAATTGCTTGCTTCTTGCTCACACCATTAACTCTTCTCTGCATCACCCAAAGGTCAGACTGGGAGAGAATGCCTGCGGCATTAAGTCCACCTTGTGTACATTTTGTGCATGTAGCTTTAAATAAATAAATAAAAAAATAAACATTTGTTTTACTTAGTCGTTCATTTCAGTGGATACTTTGCAACTTTTTTGATTCATTTTAATCGAGTATTAGAAGAATGTATGCATTTTTTTAAGGGGGGAAAATTATCGAATGACTGCTCCCGCCTAGGTGAGGTGGGAGGGAGTGTCAGACTCTTACTGACTAAAAAACCACCCCGTTCCTTCTCCTGCACGTCGAGCTGGAGCCCCGGTAACCCGTTAGGTTCTCCGCGACAAGAATGTATGCATAGAATGTTAACTTGCATAGTTTGTGAATGAGAGGATATCACTCTGTTTTGTGAAACGTGTGAACAAGACACAAGTTAAAGGTGGAAAGCGTTTATACACACACACACACAGACACACACACACACACACGAAGAAAAAGGTAAAACATTGTAACCATGACTTTAAAAGAATCATGATGTTCATGATATAACGATTGTATTAATATATTATTAATTACATTAATAACACTACCCTATGAAATGCAATGTATGCTGTAGTGTTGTATCGACTGCCAAATATTCGAATATTACTAGATCAAATCATATACGTATCAAATATTTAAAATAGAAACATGTTACCGACAAGTTAAATAATTTACATTACTTTCGCTAACTCTCACACTTGCACCACACCTACATCTGTATTGAAAGTGTAGCAGTCACTACAAAGTATCCGCAGACAATAGCCGCCGCCAGTGTGACCACGTCTCACTCGTCACCTAGTTCTATATTACTTTGGATACCATCACTGCACAGTCTCTTAGGACAAATAATTGATTTTGACTTTAACTTTGACTTCGAAAAAGAACTTAATTTTCAATATTTTCCTCTAAAGGTTGGCCCTTGTGACTCCTTTGATGTCATGGCTGCCGCTGACGGTCATCCGTCTGTTAGTTGTCGACTATACCATAAAAAAAATGGGGTTATTTTAAAAATTAACCCTGTACACACATACAGTATACATCTCTAAAACAACAATTTCTTAACACAAATAATAATAGTGCCATATAAAAAACAGAAACGAACGTCTGGACCACCTAGATGCCGCGGAAAACCTAACGGGTTACCGGGGCTCCGGCTCGAAGTGCATGAGTAGAATATCTAGGAACGGGGTGATTTTTGGTTAGTAAGAGTCTGACACTCCCTCCGGCCTCACCTAGGCGGGAGAAGTTATTCGATGATTTGGGCCCTTAAAAAAAGATCACCTAGATATACATTATCAACAAACATGTTTATATGTATGTTGGTAATAGGTACTCACAATTACAGCACAATTTTAAAAAAGTTATTACTTTTACGTCCCTCTGCACAACGATACCTTTTTC